AAAAATATGAAAGTCATACTCTTTTAGATTACCAGTGGGTCAATGAAGACAAAAAGGTCAATTAGGCAAAACCTAGAGACAAAGTGAAAATACAACATATCAATACGTATAGGATGCACTACACTCAGTGGTAAAAGTCAGATTTAGAATGGGGTAAACAGCCTGCTCTGCCATGTGCTCCTGCCATAATGTACTGAGCTGCCACAGGTTGAAAGCAACAGGGTCTATAGGCATGTAACTATTTACAGTGGAAAAAGAAACATCTCAAAAAAGAAAATCTAAAAACATAAGGCACTATAAAACAACTTCAAAGCTAGCTTAAGGAAGAAAGTAGTAATAAAGATTAGAAGTAAAATAAAGAATAGAAAGAAAATATAAACAAAATTAAGTTAATCTCTGAAAAGGCTAATAAAATGGACAAACCTTTAGCTACATTAAGAAATAGAAGATTCTAACATCAGTCATAAAAGTGGAGGCCCTACCACTGATTTTATAGAAATAAGTAGGATTAAAAAGGAATACTAACCCCCTCTCTATGCTATTTTTACAATAAAAAAATTTTAAAAAAGAGGAATACTATGAACAATTTACATTATGAGTTGGATAATTTAGGTGAAACAAATTTCTAAAGCCACCCACCCACCCACCCATCCCCCCCCTCACAACCAAACCATTAAAAAGATTAGAAACAAATTCAACTATGACAACTAAAGATTGGATTAGTAGTCACAAATTTCTAACAACAACAAACAGCAACAAAAATTCTAAGACCAAACATTTTCACTGGTGATTATTACTAAAAATGAATTATCAGTCTCCAAGCCTTTCCCAAACATTGAAGAGGAGGAAGCATTTCCAACTCATTCTGAGACATTTATAACCTTGATATTAAATTCAGACAAAGATACGATAAGGAAACTGAAGGCCAATATGCCTTGTATATAGAGTTGTAGAAATCCTCAACAAAAAAAAACTAGCAAGTCAAATTTAGTAGTATATTAACAGGATAACACACTATGACCAATTGGGATTTATCCCAAAAATGCAAGGATGGTTCAATAACAAAATGAATTAATCAATGTAATGAACCAGATTTATAGGATGGAGGGGAAAAACCCCACATAATTGTTTCAGTTGATGCAGAAAAACATTTGAAAAATTACAAAAAAAGATGAAAACAACTAGGAATATTAGGGAACTTTTTAACATGACAAAAGTCATTTGTGGGGCGAGGAAGGTGGCTCAGCGGTAGAGTGCTTGTCTTGCATGCATGAGGCCCTGGGTTCGATTCCTTGGCACCACATAAGCAGAAAAAGCCAGAAGCGGTGCTGTGACTCAGGTGGTAGAGCACTAGCCCTGAGCTGAAGAGTTGAGGGACAGTGCCTAGGCCCCGAGTTCAAGCCCCATGACCGACCAAAAAAAAAAGGTCACTTTAGAACTAACATAATTAAGTGGTGAAAGGCTGCATGCTCTCCCTCCACAATTAGGAACTTTTGTTACTTCTGTTCAACATAATGATGGAAGTTTTAGCCAGCACCATTAGACAAGAAAAAAAAAAAAGCATCCATATCGAAAGAAAAAAGTAAAATAATCTGTTTCCAGAAGACATGTTTTTAGTCTACCTTACGGTCTCTAAGAGTTATCTCAAAATGAATCAAAGACCCAAATTTAAGAGCTAAAACTTCAAAACTCTTTGAAATAAACATGATGGAACCTCTTTAAGACCTTGGATTTGTCACATTTCTTTAATATGACATTAAAAACGCAGGCAATGAGAGCAAATACATTGGACTTGGTTATCAAATTTAAAACTGCCATTGAATTGTGCACTGGCAATGATTAAAATGCAGCTGTGTTGTGGCTCAAATGACAGCGAGCCTACCTCCCAAGTGTGAGGCCCTGAGTTCACCCTGAGTTCAAACCCCACTCAGTATCACCAAAAAAAAAAAAAGATTCCAATATTAATCTTCTTTCTGCCACTATAACAAAATCACCTGAGACAATTAGCTTCATAAAGGACAAAGCTCATAGTTTCAGAGGTCTCAGTCCATGTTGTTTGGCCTTGTTGCTTTGGGCCTGTGGCAACACAGCATATCATAGTGGGAACACATGGCAGAGGAGGCTCATAGTGGCTGGGAAGCAAACAGAGAAAAGTTCCTTGGAGCTCCTTTCCCCAGTGACCTAATTTCTTTCTACTAGGCCTCATCCCCTAAAGATCCACAACTGGCCAATAGCAGCACAGGCTAGGGATCAATATAGCACGCGGATTTTTGGGTCCCTCCTAAAAGATCCAAACTATAGCAAGTGGTTCAAGTTTATGCAATGTGTATTTTATCCTAACAAAAAACTGAAAAAAACAAAACAACCCAACAAATCTACCTCAACTAGAGAAACCCTATCAGCTCTTCAATTCCAATTCAAATATTTGTTGTCCTAGGGGACAATCCCTGCCCAGGTGCCCCTCCCCTTAGGACTCAGTGTACCTTGTTCATCTCCATTTGAAAGCTTTCCCATGCATAGGCTCACATGCACAAGTTGGCTATAAGTCAGCCCCTTTTTTCAGTATTACGTCCTTGGAGGCAGGTCATACACAGAGTGACCTCAGGCCCTGGAGATTACGTTCTCATCTCTTCTCTGCTTCTGACCACTGTGTCATCAATGGCAAGTTCCCTAACCACTCTGGGTTCCTATGTCCTTATCTATAAAATAGGGTTGATGAGCTGAGCACTGGTGGCTCATACCTGTTATCCTAGCTACTTATGAGGTTGAGATTGGAGGACTGTGGTTCAAAGCCAGCCCAGGCAGGAAAGTCTATGAGGCTCTTATTCCCAATTATTCAGCAAAAAGCCAGAAGTGGAGCTGTGGCTCAAGTGGTACAGCACCAATCTTGAGCAAAAAAAAAAAAAAAGCCAAGCAAGGATACAGGGCTCTGAGTTCCAGCCCCTGTACCAGCACACACATTCACACAAGAAAAAAGATATGATGGTAGCCACTTCCTCATAGGACTATGATGAGTGAAGTAGGCCACACACCTAAGGGTCTTAGAAAGACACCTGGTACCCAGGACAGGCTGTGTGAACGTTAGCCATTGTTATACAGGCCTGGCAAAGGACAGATGGCTAGACCCTTTATAAACAGAGTGCTCGGCCATACTCCCTGCTTTCCTGCCCACCATCCCCAGCTATAGCTCTGTCTCTGCTTATGTTTGGATGTTGAGGCATGCGCACACACACCCCCTCCCATGGGTGGGGAGGCCCAGCACCTCTTCCCCAGCTCTGTCCTCTGACAGGCCTAGTCCATCTCCTTGGGGCTCCTGGGCTGAAGTCGGGAAGACTGGGAAATGCCGTCCTCATTCCTAACCTCCAGGTACTGTCCCCAGCACCAGCCGTACTCTTTCCTTCTCCCTGGCTTCCTTATTCCCTGGGCATGGCCCAGTTGGGGAGAACAGGAAGGGCTCAGATTTGGGGGTTAGTATTACTCCCTGCATGGTACCAACCAGGACCTTTAAAACATCAGCAGGAAACAGCTGCACCCTGCTGACACAACAAGTCTAGACAGGGGCCCCCGCCCCTCCCCCGCTGGCCCCTCGAGTCCCCCAGCTGACAGTCACTCGCACACTCTCACCCTTCCCCGGATGCAGGGACAGGCTGGGGCAAGCCTAGGACTCACTCAGTTTCCCTTTCCTGTTGCCCCTCCCTACCTCCTCCTCTTCCCTCCCCCTTTCCCTGCCCCCTACCATTCACCATCCAAGTAAATCTGTCTGCCAGGACCTGGCTACTGTGGAGGTCTTCAGGGGTGGCAGAGGGGAGTCCATAGGACCCGGGCTGGGCTTGAACTACTGATACTTCCACTAGAACTCTAGAACAGAAACACTGGGCAGAATGCCAGAGCTCAGAGAGGGAAAGCACTTGCCTTGAATCACACAGTAGTGGAGTCAAGACTAGAACCCAGAGCTTGTGGATGCCCACTTTTCTTTCCCCTATCCCACACCTCCAGTTTCCTTATCTGTCTATTGCACACGATGCTTGGGAAAGTTTACAGATTTCCTTCGAGGGCTGATATTACACTGGTGTGACCGGCCTGCTTGACGCCTCCCTGCTCTCCTCCTCCTGTTTTTCCTTAAGTGTCCAGGTGTACGGTGGTGTGTGTGGTGGGGGTGAGGAAGGGGACCTTTGTAACTAGGTTCAAGGAGCCTCTGTTTGCCGTGATGGATGTGACACTTATTAGCTACTTGACAGGGGAGCTCCCAGGCGTGGTTCTGGCCAGATTGGTTCTGCTCGGATCTACGATTGGGCCATCCAGGCTGGAGCCTGACATTTCCCACCTGCCAGCAGCTGATTACTCAAGGCAACCTCAAGGTGGGGAAGGGGAGTGCAGCGACATGGAGGCAATCATCGAGGCAGGCCCCAGGGGTCAGAAGTCAAGAGGCAAAATGATAGATAACTCAGAACCCAGGCAGTCACCTGGGGGTGCAGGCTGAGTGACGCCCTGCCCCAGCCTGACAAAGCTCAGGATGCAGGCCGGGGTCTGGAGGGCCCCTGAGGTCCTAGAGAACGTCTCTCTTCTCTCTCACTTCCCTCTGTTCTGTAGGAAAGAGTAAAGGAGTCTCCTCCAGTGGTTTCCTCTTGGCTAAGGACCGCTCTGTGTCCCCTCTAGTTCATCCAGTCACCAGTGGGATAGTATTTAAAGATGAACCTTTGGAAACCCCAGGGTAGAATTTGTATCTTTAGAAGATGTACCAGAATGCTATCTATGTAATTATCTATCATCTAGCTATTGATCTATTATCTAGCTATTGATCCATCTATATATCCATCCATCATCTATCCCCTCCCTCTTTCTCCATGTTCACACACGAAAGAATAATCCAGGAAGAGAACAGAATCCTCACTAAGAACCAAATTAGCCGGTACCCTCATCTTGATTTTAGTCTCTGGATCTTTGTGAAATAGATGTCTGTGTTGAAGCCCCCAGGTCAGGTCTGTGAGGTTTTGTTACAGCAGCCAGAACTGACTGAGATGGCCAGCAGCACCAGACCGGGTTGCAGAGGGATGGAGCCCGAGAATGTGGAAGCCCTGAGTTCTTCTCTGAGTCCTCCACCCCCATGAGCCACATGACTTCAGGTGAGTCACTGGGCCTTGGCCTCTGTATCTGGACAGTGGGTTCCTGGGCTGCCTCTCTCTTCTGCAAGTGGGTGTGGGAATCTCCAGAAAGAAGAGGGTGAATCTTCGGGACAAGATGGACCTTCAGTATTTATCTTCTCCTCGCCCCAAAGCCTAAGGCAGCTGTTACCAAAAAGATCATTGTCAACCAGCCCTGAGACCCAAACACCCTCATCTCTAGCGAGCTCTGACTCAGCAGCTTGAAGCTGTGGCCCTGTCCTCGGGGAGCTGACTGGAATCAGTGGCCCATGGTTGAGGAAAACAGAGGCCCAATTTATCCTCAAGGAGTCAGAGGAGAATCCCTAGATGACCACACAGTAGACACAGGCTGGAAGGTACATCTGCCTTAGAAAACCACAGAAGTCTTCCCTGAATGGACCCAAGGCCAGCGGGTCTGGCCTCATGCCCCTCTCTGATCTCTCTCTGCTCCTCCATCCATACAGGGTTCATGTCTTCCATCTCCCGTCAGTCTGGGAGCGCTAGGAGGGGCTTGACCACTCTATATGGCCCCAGTACAGGGTCCAGCTACAACAGCACTCATTTGGTGAAGGACAAGGTGGTCGACAAGACCCAGTCCTTGCCTGCATCCTTGTTCCCTGTACACAGCCTTTTGCCTGGATGTGAAAACTTCAGGGATGGGAAATAGTACAGAGCAAGTGTGTTTGGGCAGAGGCATGGGGTTCAAAGAAGAGAGGGGTCAGGTACTGGTGGCTCATGTCCATAAACCTAGCTACTCAGGGGGTTGAAATCTGAGGATCATGGTTTGAAGACATCCCAAGCAAACAAATTCAGTCTAATCTCCAATAAACCAGCCAAAAGCTGGACCTGGAGGTGTAACATAAGCGGTGAAAAACTTGAGAGCAGGAGGCCCTGAATTCAAGCCCCAGGTAGAAACTCAAGAAGGTAGAAGGCTAGGTGTCTAGGATGCTCCAGGAGCTGTGGGATCTCACTTCGGCCCAGCTGCCTGCTCCGAAGCGATGTGCTGCAAGACAGCATGTCTTCTGGCCCAGCAAACACTTGCAGTACCACCTTTCCCCCTCTGCTGGCTTCCCGTCCAGCATGGAGTTTGGAGCCCAAGGTGCTGTCATTGGGAGGAACAGCCTGATGCCTGGGGTCTCACAAGCTCAGAGAGAGGCCCTGAGGTCAAAAGAGGAATAGTAAAGCCTTATAGGGCTGAGCGCTGGTGGCTCATGCCTGTAATCCTAGATACTCAGGAGGCTGAGATCTGAGTGAGGATCATGGTTCAAAGCCAGCCAGGACAGGAACGTCTGAGCCTCTAATCTCCAATTAACCACCAGAAAACTGGTAGTGGTGCTGTGGCTCAAGTGGTAGAGTGCTCACCATTTTTTTTTTTTTTTTGTCGGTCGTGGGACTTGAACTCTGGGCCTGGGCGCTGTCCCTCAACTCTTCAGCTCAAGGCGAGCGCTCTACCACTTGAGCTACAGCGCCACTTCCGGTTTTCTGGTGGTTTATTGGAGATACGAGTCTCATGGTCTCTCCTGCCCGGGCTGGCTTTGAACCGCGATCTTCGGTTTTCGGCTCCTGAGTAGCTAGGATTACAGGCGTGAGCCACCAGCGCCCGGCTAGAGTGCTTACCTTAAGCTAAAATGCTGAGGGACAAGGCCCAGGCCCAGAGTTCAAGCCCCACGACCAACAAAAAACAAATAAACAAACAACCATATTGGGGGACAAGATATTGTGGGGGACAGAGGAGGGTGCTGGACAATGGGTGTTCCTCAGTGGTAGATGATAACACAAGCATTCCCTGTCCCCCTCCTGGTTGGGTGTTGTTGTTTTAACATAAGGTTATTAGATAAAAGGCCTCCCAGTTACATCTGAACTCCAAAGTCGAGGACTCCCTTCTATATGGAGTAATTTTATTTTTCAGTACCGGGATTTGAAACCAGGGCCTCATGTTTGCTAGGCAGGCACTTTGGTATCCTTTTTGATGTAGTTATTTATTTTTTATTTTGTGCTGATCCTGGGGCTTGAACTCAGGGCGTGGGTGCTACCCCTGAGCCTGGTTGTACTCAAGACTAATGCTCTACCACTTGAGCCACAGTGCCACTTCTGGCTTTTTCTGAGTAGTTTATTGGAGGTAAGAGTCTCATGGACATTCCTGCCCTAGCTGACTTTGAACCATGAGCCTCAGATCTTAACCTCCTGAGTAGTGAGGATTACAGGTGTGAGCCACCAATGCCCAGGGGTAGTTATTTCTTGAATAGGGTCTCACTTTTTTTCTAGGGCCAGCCTGGACCATGATCCTCCTATTTATGCTTCCTGAGTAGCTAGGATGACAGGTATATACCATACCAAGCTTTTTATTGGTTAAGATAGGATCTCATGAACTTTTTGCCAGGGCTGGCCTTGAATTTGGATCTTCCTGATCTTAGCCTTCAGAGGAGCTCGGACAGCAGGTATGAGACACCATAAATGGATTTTTTAAAAAAAGAAACATAACTATGTCTCATATATTGCTTGGAGCATGAATGTCCTGCATTTTTATTTGTTAAATTTAGCAACCCTATCCTAAGTCCTCTGTGACCTTTGTTAGAGAGTGCTCTCTCTGCCCAGACTGTGGAGGTGGGGGGAGGCTGGGGTGCAGGTGAGCCAGCTGCCCCGTGCTGACTCCATGGCTGTTGGCCCAGGTGTAGACAGCGCCTGCAGCCAGGCAGGATGTGTGTTCAGTGGGGGAGGCGACTGGGCAGTGGCAGAGCCAGAGAGACGCGGGAATTTTTTTTCTGTGGGTTCCTGTCTCGTCCCCTCTCCAGACTCACCACCATTATGGGCTTGAGTCACCGGGGCGGGGAGGGGGGGGAAGGGGGGGGATGGAACAGGCCAAATTTTTCCACTTAGCCCCTGTCCCTGTTGCCAGGCTCACCTGACGGCCCCGCCCCCCAGAGGGAAATTCCAGTCCTAAATCCTCTCCAGCAGCTCTGCATTGTGGGTGGGGAACATCCGGGGTCAGGGGACACCCCTGGGCCGGAGAAGCTGCTGTGGGACTCCCCTCTGCTGAAAGAGGGGGAAGCTGCTAAGGGCAGGGCGCAGCTAAGACCACAGTGGGGCTGGCTTATGGGACAGCAGGGGTGTGAAGTCCAAGCTGTGACAATCCATGTGTGGAAAGATTTCTCTTGAGGCCCTCAGGGCTCAGTTGACATAAGTTGTATGTGTGTGTGTGTGTGTGTGCGTGCGCGCGCGCGCATACGTGCGTGCATGTGTATTTCTCAGATGCTTGCTGGTTGTGGAAGGTTTGCCATTATAGAGCTATTGCCAACACATTGCCTAAATTCTACAGCCTGATGTTCAAGGCTTTTAGGTAGACACCAAAAACCTTCCCATGATTACCTGGTGCTTGATCCCTTTGGTGCGTCCTGGGTGTGTCCAGTTCAAGTCTTCAACCTTCGATGTCTACAGGGCTCAGACAGGTAACTGGGGACAAGGGAAGGGGGTTGGGGGTGGGGAGGTGTGCTGCTTAGCTTCTCAATGGTTGTGCATTTCTGGAATTCAAAACTCTGAAGGTCCCTCTCCCATTGTTTACCTTTTGGTTTGCAATGGGCTGCACCTTCTTCAAGGACTCTGTACAGCACTTGGGGTGGGCCAGACAGAACATGCCTGAGGACCGGATGTGGTCCATGGGTGCCAGCTTGTAATCTCCCCATCTGGCCAACTATCTTGTACCTTTTCCTATTCCTTGCATAGGCTCCTCCCATTCCTGTCTTGATGCCAGAATTGGGCTCGAAGGATGACGCTGCTCATTTATTATAGCTGTATGATTCCCAGCAAATGACTTTGTTTGAGCTAAATTTCCATCTGTAAACAGAGTGTGTTAATAGAATCCACCTCTGGTGCTCATCTGAGAATAAATGTATATAGCACTGAGAAGTGCAGCACCTAGTATCTGATAGGTAATCATTGCTGTTATTACACATGACATAGCCTACCTGCTGCCCCCTCTCAAAGCTCCCCCCAGTCCCTTGGGTCAAACCCATCGTTCCTTCGCATTGAGCTCTTCCCTGACCCTGTGTGTCTTGTGTGGTAATTAGTGTGTACACCCTGCATCCTGTCCATGGCCCCCTCTTGGACACAGGCGTGTCTCAGTCATTCATTCAGCAATCATTGAGTGACTTTGCCGGTCACAATGCTGGGGACTGGAGGTAGGCTGGTGATGAGACATGGCCTTCATCACTTGGCAGCGTGCCTTGGCTAAAGTGCACAGTGACTTGGTTTCTGGGGTTACCTGGTGTACCCCTGAATCGCTGCAGTGGAACTCCATGGAGGGGTCTGGACCCAGCAGTGCCTAGGCTCAGCGGATGACCCAAAGGGCAGCTTGGTCCTTGCAAGGTAGCCCCACTGGGCTAGTGGAAAGGACTGAGAGGTGAGTAGACACTGGGGTGATGGTCTATTGCTTTCTGGGGCTCCTCCGACTGGGGACTAGGCAGGCTTGGCAGGATGGGGTCACCTTCCCACCACCACTCCTGGATACTGATACACCAGTACCTGTAGACATTCAACCTCACAGCGCTGCTGTACAGGTTGTGACCTTTCCGAGTAACCAGCAGCTAGATTATCTACCAACTCTCGACCCAGACTTCCTGGGAGTGGTGCCCAGAATGTTACCTGTCTTCTTTGAGCCTCAGTTTCCTCCTACAAGGAATTACGTAAGTCAGTATCTGTAGAATTCTTAGATTGTTTCTGGAATGCTTTTGCTCTAGATTTGGGAATTCTGGAGCCATGGGCAGATTCCTGGCCTGTGATAGATTCTTGGTTTCTTGCTTCAAGGCAGGAAGGGAAGAGCAAGAAGGAAAGTCACCTTGGGAAATCTCTCTGTGCAGCTACATGGTAATGACAGGTAGGAGAGACAGGCTTCAGCCCCAGGGCCCACGGCTGAGTGGCAAGTCCAAGTGGCTCTCTAGGCCCTGGCTGTAGGCCTGTGAGCTGTGGGGGAGGGAGGGAGAGGGAAG